TATCCGAAATGCATAAACTATGCAATTGCAGATACAGGTAGTAGGGTAATCCATACTGGGATTGATAGACTCAGACATCACTCATAACTTCATCAGCTAGAAGGCAGCTCTACAGCATCAGCTTCACATGGTATCGCGTCCAGGCCTCCAAGTGACAGTAGCTAATGGAATGAAATTCAACAGCCCAGGCATTTGCAAATCAACGGTACTTCAAGTGGGAACTGACTCATTCAGTGTTGATTTATATGTAATACTGTTAGAAGGATTTTATGTGGTCCTAGGGGTAAAATGGTTGCGCACACTAGGACCCATTTATTGGGACTTCATGACACTAATGATAAGTTTCAGGTTAAATGGAAGACAAGTCACTTGGTATAGGGAAGTGACCAGAAAGACTACTTTGCTGCACACTCTTAGTGGAGAGGAGGCAAATCAGTCAGCTATGGATAAATTGCTAGCTGATTTTTCAGATATTTTTTAAGAACCCACCCATCTGCCTCCCTCTCGAAATTGTGACCATCGCATCACTCTAGTATCAGGAACAGAACCCATTGTAGTTCGGCCTTATCGCTACCCCCACTTCCAAAAAGACGAGATTGAACACCAATGCACGGTCATGCTATAACAAGGCATCATATGAACAATTCGTTCTCCCTTCTCTTCACCTGTATTATTGGTTAGGAAACAGGACACGACTTGGCGATTTTATGTTGATTACCATGAGCTCAATGCCAAAACGATTAAAGACAAGTTCCTCATCCCCGTGGTTGATGAGCTATTAGATGAACTTCATGGTGCAAAGTATTTTACCAAGCTGGATTTGAGGTCGGGGTATCATCAGGTGTGGATAGATGCTGCGGATGTGGAAAAGACATCCTTTCGAACACACCATGGCCACTTTGAGTGTTTGGTCATGCCGTTCGACCTCACGAATGCACCCTCCACATTCCAATCTCTGATGAATGAGGTTTTTCGAGCACACCTACGCAAGTTTGTGTTAGTTTTTTTTTTACGATATTCTTGTATGTAGCAGGTCTTGGGGTTGAACATGTGCAACATTTGCGGATTGTACTGAAACTACTCTGAGCACACCAATTATTCCTAAATAGATCTAAGTGTTCTTTCGGAGCATCCCAAGTAGCTTACTTGGGTCATTTTATTCATAGCTAAGGGGTTTATGTTGATTTAGAGAAAATCAAGACTGTCTCTACATGGCCAACCCCAAGGTCGATACGAACTTTGAGAGGGTTCCTAGGACTAGCCGGATACTACAGAAAATTCGTGTCCAATTATGGGTTAGTGGTTACCTCTTTGACGAACTTGCTGAAGAAAAACTCTTTCACCTGATCTAGTGAAGCTACGGATGCCTTTGAAGCATTGAAGGGAGCGTTAGCCTCAGCCCCAGTACTGTAGTTATCGGACTTTATTGCTGCATTCATAGTGGAGTGTGACACTTCGGGTGTGGGTGTAGGTCACCCTATTGCCTTCTTTAGCCGCAAACTAACAGAGAGACACCTTAAGCTGCCAGCATATGAGAGGGAACTAATTGGGCTTGCTTTGGAAGTACAACATTGGCGACCTTATTTGTGGGGTCGTTCCTTTATCATCAAGACTGACCATTTCAGTTTGAAGTACTTATTGGAGCAGTGACTTACCACTTCTCCTCAATAATTATGGGTCAGTAAGTTGCTTGGCTTTGATTTTCATGTGGAGTACAAGGCAAGGGCCTTGAATAAGGCAGCTGATGCACTGTCCCAGAAGAATGAAGATGACACCCTTGACCTTTGCGCAATATCACAGCCCCTATCTTCCTTGGTTGATGATATTCGAAGAGAACAAGCTCATTCAGCAGAGGTGTAGTCCCTTTGCAGTAACATTTCCGTAGGTACCGCAAGCAAGCACTGGTCAGTGCATGAGGGACTGCTGTCATACAAAGAGAGGCTGTACATTCCTACAAACTCTCCACTAATTCGTTTTATTTTTTCCAGCTTACATGATGCTACACATGAAGGAATGCAAAAAACCTTACATCGCGTGCGAGCTGAATTCTATTGGGTAGGAATGAAACCCACTATCAGGGAATTTGTCCAGAACTGCTCAGTTTGCCAATATAACAAATGGGAGAATCTTCATCCCCCGGGCCTTCTTCAACCCTTGACAATTTTGAATCAAGTTTGGTATGATATCTTGATGGATTTTATGATGGGGTTACCCAAAGTTGGGGGGAAGTCAGTTCTTTTTGTGATGGTAGATCGATTCTCTAAATATGCCCATTTTATTCCTTTGGCTCACCCTTACTCAGCAAGCTCAGTTGCATAAGTTTTTTTTGATAGGGTGTTTCGTTTACATGGATTACCGAAATCCATTGTGAGTGATAGGGACTCAGTCTTCACTAGCACTTTTTGGCGCAAATTATTTCGCCTTCAGGGGACCACTAGCTTTTTCTTCAGCATACCACCCATAAACGGATGGGCAAACCGAGGTGGTAAATCGTACAATTGAGATGTATCTTCGCTGCTTTATAGGTGACCAACCGTGTAGGTGGGTTGAGTGGCTTCTATGGGCGGAATTTTGCTACAATACCAGCTTTCACTCCTCTTTAGGCATGACCCCTTTCTAAGTAGTTTATGGTCGTACACCTCCTCGTTTACTCATTGTCTAGCCTAATTCTACTCAGGTGGATGCTGTTGACACTGCCTTACAGAGTTGGGATGAGATATTACGGGAGGTAAAGCTACGTTTGCATCAGGCTCAGGCACGCATGAAGCAAGTGTATGACAGCCACCATCATGAGCTATCCTTCGTGCCTGGTCAGTTTGTATGGCTGAAGTTGCAGCCCTATCGTCAACATTCAGCCCAACAGCGTGCATTTCACAAGCTATCACCCAAGTTCTATGGTCCATTTCAAGTTGTTCAGAAACTTGGGTCGGTGGCATATGAGCTGCAACTTCTAGCGAATTGTAAGATTCACAACGTCTTTCATGTTTCCTTATTGAAGCCTTTTAAGGGTACTGCACCATCCACTATACCTCCGTTGCCACCCTTAGTGGATGGTAAGTTTATTTCTCAACCTCAAGCCGTGTTTGGCTCTCGACTGAACCATGGAGTGCATGAAGTCCTTGTCCAGTGGACTAGAACACAGGCTGCGGATGCCACATGGGAGAAGGTCCCTACCTTACAAGAGTCTTTTCCTACATTTGAGCTTGTGGACAAGTTCATAGTCCAGAAGGGGAGTAATGATGTGGACGCATTCATTGGCAGGAAATACAGCCGTAGAAACAAACTACCAGCAACAGAGGAGTAGTTAGATTAGGACTCATATGGGCAGTAGTTTAAGTAGCAGCAGAAGAGTAGTCAGATTAGAATTCATTTAGAATAAAAATACCAAAAGGCAATCTATAACTAAGTCATCTTAGGTTTGAGCATCTTTAGAATTCGTAGTGTGTTAGGAAACTGTGCTGGCTATAAGCCTTGACAATTGTATTCTTTTTCATCTATACTGCTACTATATAAAGCAGGAGATTACAATAATAAAGGCATGGAATATTTCAGCTAAAGGACCTAGGAGAGTTGGTGGTCTCTAGAACAAACCATCCTCATCTATTTATTCACGATAGGTTCGTCAAGAAAGAATCACCACGTGAATAAGGGAAAACTAGTTGATTTCCCCGTTAATCAACCCATAACGAGATCTGTAACTCAAGACCATAACAGTTTCAACTCTTAATTGAGATGCAAGGAGCCCGCTAAATATTTGATATAACCAAACGGAACATGATTTAAATTTTTGATTCAGCATTCATCACTAATAAAAAGGTATTGATGTAATCCACAAGAATGGTTAATTGGTTAGGAAGTGAGATAAAAACTTGTGCGACTATAGTTCCAATCCCATCACATAAAAATATACAAGAACTTTCTTTCCTTCATTTTTGTGGACCACCAACCAGGCCTGTGAATCTTGTTTCAAGTGTCAGTCCCCCAAACTAACTACATGTTTATCTCAAATTTATCTAACATGCACTTGAAGGATGATATATATATATATATATATATATATCTTCTACCTTTTTGTTTTTTCTCCTATCAACAGAAACTAAATTCACCACTTTCTGAGCTAAATTAACGCTGAATTATATCTAGCATTTAGTCGATTCTAAAGTCTAGAAATATTCAAAATTACAAAAAACTTAACAGTAAAATAAATATCTGAAAGTCCTAATGATATTTCTCACAGACAAATATGAATAAAGATAATGATGTTCTCATAAATATAGGTGAATAAAAGATCCATGTCATCTTGGAAATGTCCTTTTCACTATGTTACTATCCTAAAAGCACATACTCCTAAGGAAAGCAAACCTCCTGCAAGCATATGCTATCCTAATAAGGATATATATCAATTCCCACAGTAAGCAAGATATACGAACATAAAAGGAAGTAATTACCATGCCTAAACTCTCCCGAGTGTATTTAGGCATCTGGGTTACTAGGCATGAAAAAAGAAAACAAAAGCAGTATATTCAACTTCTACAATTCATAATTAAAAAAAAAAAAAAAGAAGGTACAATTGAAAGTTAGCAGAACTGATAACATAATTATGCAGTAAAAAATTTCTATTAACAAATTTCCTATGCTCAGTGAGATGAGAAACTACGAAAATGCTTTATATTGGCCAAATCATGAACCACAAATCAACTATATCTGCCAGTTTGTATATTTCTAACCAACCCTGTGTTCCCAATAGTGTATACAAATTCATTTGATCAATGTACTTGTTTATCGCCAGCAGTCACTTAAAATATTCACTTACAAATGAAAACAGAATATTGACATAATTGAGATGTCTTTCTTGATGTCCATCTGCATTAAGGGAGAACCAAGACATTGTTAATGTCATAGAATAGAGGAGACATGCAGAAGATTTAAGTACTTATATTTTAGAGATGAAGATATGGTTTCTAGATCACCTTGCCACATGTTCATGTTTCTTGCTTATATTAATCATCATGGTCATCCTCACCTTCAGAATCTGTATAAGATACAGCAACAAAAATTTAGGATATTCTGAACCAATATTTTTCTTGCAGGAGAGGAATATTAAAAAAGACTGCCACAGATCTCACATTTAAGGCCTCTCATAATGATTGAAATGCCTGGTCAATGATTGAGTGATTTATGAAAATCAACCAAGGGTTAAAAAAATTGATTAATGATACAAGAAACACATGTAATTTGGCATAATATCAAAATGTACCTATTATATGCTAGAAAGAACTGATATGAGTCATTTCATTTGTAACTTAATATGATAGGTCATGGAAATAACAAAACCTACAATATGACATGTCCCATATTTTTCAATAATATACATCCCCTATTTCATTTGCTGCATTCATCTTTATATTTCTTTTCAATGAACCTGAAATAACTCTTTTGTAGTTGTAATTCACAACAATTCAATTTCATATGTATTTCTAGTTTATACAGTGGCTTCTATTTGCAGTATGAATTCTCATTGCATTCCTATCACTTCATATAAATCTGTAACATCAATGTAGAGTAAAAACAAAAAAGATCATGATTATGTTTTTCATTTTTTGGTAAAAAATAATTATGATTATGTAAATTGATATTATTGTTACTGTTAATAATGTCAATGTATTCCAATCTTTGGTCTTCTTTTCTTTCCCCCATGCCTTCCGTTAGTCAACAAACAATAAACTGCAAACATTTTTACTATGTCCCACCTGTAAGAAACAACAGCTAATGCAATGATACGGATTGCTGCTTTTCTTTTTTTCTTTTTTTTACAAAAATTTGAGCCCTGCGTGTACAGCAATTGAGTTTTGTTTTCTTTCCTTGTGTTTATGCTCATGCTTATGTATAGAAAAACCAGCAAATTTGTGTTTGGAAATCATGCTTCTTACCTGAACGAACATCATCACTAACTTGGCCTCTCGCTCGGATTTGCCCACCTACCATCCGTACCATCAAGATCCACCAATAAATATGAAGAACAAGCAAGAAGAAGAGAAGAGTGTTAAAGATATAATAATAGATAGGTCCATCCACCAATAGCGTTTCCTCGTCGAAGGTCAAAAGAAATTCATAGCTGCCATAAAAGGATGCAAAAATTTAATACCAGAAAGTAGTAGTAGTAGTACTAACAGGCAGGCATTATGTTGCTTCTCAGAAAAATAAGAAAAGATAAAATGAAAAACAAGAGTAAAAAAATAAAAATAAAAAATGAACTGCCACCATCAAATACTCTATCTACATCTAGAGTTCTTATTTTTTTACCGGCCTAGTGCATATAAAAGCTTACTAGAGTAAAATTATCTCTCAACTGCAGTCTTCAACACTGGTATATTAGTTCAAATCCACTACTAAGGCCTATTTATACAAAAAGAATGTTCAGGGATGAAGGCTGTAATTATATTTCTAATAAATTATAGTTAAAAAAGCTCAACACTTCTGCCTGGGAATTTGTGGAAAGTTCAAATTATGGCTCCGAAAAATATGTTTTCTATTGCTATTGAGGTTGGAAATGCGTTGGACTCTACTGAGAACAAAAGCAGCAGGAGAAAGAGAATTAGAAGAAGCAAACTGAAAAGATAAGACATGAGATTCATGATGTCCTGCCATGAATGCATCCATACACAAGGAAAGAGCTGCTTGCGGTAATTAGTCCATAAGTGTTCATGATCATGGGGGCCAGAAGATAACTATAGTTGCAAGATTGTGTGCTGATGAAAAAAAGACTGTCTTTACATGTTGTATCAGAAATTAGCACTATTGCAAACTTCCTTAATTCAGCAGGATTGCTAATTTCCATCCAGGTGTAATGGCTCCCTATAGGTACTAAATGTTTCGACGGCTTCTATTTAGAGTATTTAATAAGTACCAAAGGAACTGAAAGTAAAACCAATCACATTCATGGCAAAAACACTTTTCCAACCAGAATGCTAGAGGGCCTAAATTTTAAGTTCATGAAGAAAAAAACAGTGTAGAGTTCATCTATTGTTTCACCAAACACTTTGACAGTATATCAGATTTGGAATAGCCAAGCAATGCTGAAATGGCACATCACTGAATCTACCTAGTTTTCCTGCTCATGCAGAACACGAATAAGGCTGGACTGTAGGGAAGAAATGTTCTAATGAAGCATATTTATTTATCCAATTTATGAGTCTTACAAAATAATTGGCAGCAACGCAGAGGACAATAGTGTTCGTAGGTTAGATAGGTAGAAATGTCTATATATTTTGATTTATAATCAACAAGAAAATTAGATCCATACTTAAGTCATACATTTGGAGGTTTATTGCAACTACTCACAGCTTCCTTTACCTAATAACTATTTATCTTTCTGTCTTTGCCATTGCAAAAACATTGCAACTACTCCCACATAGTAGACAGTTTTTAATTTGGACTTACAAAAATGACTTCAGAAAGATCTTGTTGTTATAGGTTATCTTTATAAATTCTCAAATTAGATATTATGCATCGTAGCAACTTATGGTTTCTCAAGTTCTATACCATTTCAAGGAAAATAGAAAACCAACTATCAATAAATTCTTGCCAGATATACTAACTTACCTTGTGCTCCTAAGTATCCAAAATGGGTAGTAAATGATGCGAAGTATGGTCCAAAAGAGAACAAAGAGAAGGAAAAAAACACTGGCCATCAATTCATAGCCACTATATTTTGACATCTTTGCTATTTCCATAAACACATCTGTTGCGTCATGCAGCGCTAAAATAACAGAACCAACACGAGCAAACCTGCAAGGGGCAGCCGATTGTAAAGACATGGTTCAGGCATCTTTAGCAAAAAGGTATGGCAGTATGGTGGATGTATTCTATTAAATTTGACTATACATTTGCTCTACACGTAAAAAAAATGAATTCGAGTTTGCACAGAGTGATCCTGTCATATTTTAGCTTTTGATAATCAGTATTATATATATATATAGTATCATTGTTCTTACAAACATAGGAAGTGGAAAACAAATTTGAAGTTGAAGCTGTTTGAAACAAACCTCAGTATGTAAGACAGAACAATGAGAAGGACACTTGCAAAATGATGACCCATGGATACTCCAAAGTCTGAACGCCTGGTTTCCCAGAAAACCAAAGCGAATATAGAGTATGTGTAGAACCCAGCCGCATACATGTACAATACCTTCAATTCGAATCTACGCACCATGAGAATAATCAGTCATGTAAGCGTGACCATATGAAACTATGAACTTGCATACTTATAAAGCTAAAAACATCAATGAATGGAAAATCAAATCCTAAAACTAACTCAGTTCTACTATCTATTAGTCATAATAGAAAATGATTTTTTCAAAGAGTTGGGAGTGCTCACTTAAGTTTATGATGAGGCCAAACTTGATCTCCAGGTCCAACCCAAAAATATTTAGTATTCGTGAACCAGGGTTCATCATATGTAACATAAAGAGCCAAAATCTCGGCACAAAGAAAATAAACACATTTCCAAGCAGACTCTTTGAATTTATTAACTTTCTTCCTGTTTCCATGTGTCCCAACATCCACTGTAGCATACCCCTTCCCAAAAATAAATCTTCTGGCTAAACACTGCAACAGAAATATACGGCTGTTTTAAATCAAGCTTGTGATTTACCATGAAAATGCCATGGAGTTGTAGGAACTAACTGGCAAGATAAATAAACACATGCAAGGAAAAATTCTGAACAAGCAATATTGGTCCATCCAAGGTGAGTTTAGCCTAAAATAAAAAGGCAAAGAATAAAAGAAACAAAAGGTAAATAAATGGTAATAACGACTATTTGATATGCCGAACATTAGTATAAATACTCAACCCCAGAATTATTACATGCATAAGCAAAACTGAAAACCAACAAAATCCCAGAAATAAAAAAAAACAAATGATTAGAACCATGTTATTGGTAGATTCACCATCTTTGGTATATAACAAATTAATATGATCAAGTTATTTTACAAGAAATAAGAAAGTAAAGGAGTAGAAAACTGAGACCTCAAAGACATATTTGTCAAGAACAAATCTAACTGAAAGGAAGAATACAGCAAAGAATGGAACGGCAATGAAGTCAATGGCCACTGGGTATGACTCTGACTCCCAATCGATCAAACCGTTGCTTCCCAGAACACCCATTTAACTGTTTTGAAGGAATTCTGAAAGACAATAGAGAACATAAGTAGAGAAATAGTGGATTGGATTGCTGCCAGAAACGGTAGCCAATGTCTGGCTGGTGGCGTTTTCCTGGAAACTGCACATAAAATAATTGACTTCGGCAAAAAGACAAAAAAGAGAAAAGAAGACCTCGGCTTTGACCGGAGACACATTTGACTATAGGTTATGTAATCTAGCCCGAGCCAAAATTGAAGGGTTAATTTTTATTTAACCGTCTAAGGTTTGGGACAAATCTAGTTTCCCCACTGAGGTTTTGATTGTATCAGGCTCGGTTTATTTAGGGAAAAACAAGTTCTATAAGAAAAATAATTTCTGAGTAAGTTATTTTTTTAGAAATTATTTTTCAAGAAAATATTTTCTATTGTTTGACAGTTATATGAAAAAGCTACTTGAAAAATATATTCCAACGTTTGTTTGATACGGAAAATTAAAATACAAAAACTTATGTGATTGTTATATTAATAAGTTTTGAGAAAATTTTAAAAAGACATTCATAATTTCATAATATAAGATACATTTAGAAAAATTTAATAAATTTTCATCAATACTAACTCTAAAATTTTAATTCAAAAAATAAAATGTATTTTTTTAACAATCAAATCAAATCATCAAAATTACTTGAGATAAGATTAAGTCAATATTCATATTTGGTAAAAAAAGATTCTAAGTAATCTTAGCATTATTATTTTAGTAACTCAATTAAGAATTTTTTTTTAAGAAATTGAACTGATAATTTAGTCTAAAAAATAATTTGATAAATTATTTGTTATCATATATAGATAATTATTTATTTGATCTCAAAAGATTAATGTTGTAATAATTTGTAACTAATTATTCATTACAATTACCAACAAAATTTTACAATTGATTAAAATTATAAATTATTGATTTGATTGCAAATGAATAGTGTGTTGAAAAAATAATATATTTATTAATGAATTAATTAATTTTAATTTCTTTTTACAAAAAATTATGGTCTTGTAATAATCATTTTCAATCATTTAACTATAGCTTAGTTAGTGATTGCGTCATTGAGACAATAGGAAAAAAAGAGATAAGTTATTGAAATATTTATTATAAAAATAATTTTAAGGTGTAAAATGGTTTTTAAGAATATTTAATGTATCTATAAATCAAAAAAATCAAATATTAGTAAAGATAGAGAAAAAATAATTATATATATTTTAAATAAAAAGAAGATAGAGAAAAAAATTGTTAAAATATATCGAGAGAGAGTTATGTAACGAGAGAGCGAGACGACTCGTGAGAAGGAAAATGTTTTCCTTTTTTGAAATTGGTAAAACATTTTCCCAAAATTACTCTATTATTTTCCGTTGACTGAAAATCATTTTCTATTGACTTTTTCCTGAATGTGAAACAAACACTGAAAAATAGGAAAAACAAGTTCTAGGAACTTGTTTTCCCCCAAACAAACGCAACCTCAATGTCTTCCACACAGTGTCAATTATGTACCAATGTTGCTATCAAGCTAATGTAAAAAAAAATTATTTCAGTCCTTAAACTTTATAAATTTGATCAAATATAATCTTTTAAAAATAATTTGATGAAATCAAAGCTTTTACCGAAGTTAAAAAAGCCCAAATGATACTATATACATCATTTATATTTATATTTATATTTATATTTCTTTTAATATGGTTTATATTGAAAACAAAGAAAAAACATAAAATATTTTGAAAGTTAGAAAAAGATTAAATTAGAAAGGCTACAAAAGATAAATATAATGTCTAAAGATAAACAATTTTAAGCTTTTGAATTATTACTAGACTATAATCATCAACTAACAAAGTATCAATATATTTTATAAAATTAATTAATATTGACATTCCAACGTGTTGTGACATTTTACTCATCAAAGAAAAAAGATAATTTTTAATGAAGTTCATACTTTAAGTTTTTTCTTTACATATAATTATTAGTTCGATATATATTCTAACATTTAATTTTTTTAAATTTTTGTATTTATATTTTTAAATGCAAATGATATACGTGGCATTATTTGAAACTTTTAATTGAAAGTAGAAAATTTTATATCTTTAAATTATTTGCAAAATGTTTTATTTGATTATCATTGAAAGTTTGGAAACTAAAAGTTTTTTTTCCCTATTTAGTTTATTCCACTTTAAAATATTAGGAGGATATTAAAACAATCTACCATCAATAAAATATTAGGATTTCATTGAAAAATTGACAAAACAAGCCTATTAAAATCCTCATAGTTCATCTCATTTTCTCTATTAGTAAACATGCTTTCTTAAACTAGTAGAGGAAAAGAGAGGAATTTGAGGGTTTTAATGGGTTTTTCATCAATTTCTTAATGAAACCCTAAATCAAGTGACACAGTAAAAAAAAAAAAAATCATATCATTTAGAGTACAAAATCCAAATATTTTCAGGTATAGAGGCATATTTGTTTGTTTTGGCTCAGCCTTGGTTTTTTTTTTTTTTTTAAACAATTTGGCTATGAGTTAATTACAAGGATAAATTTTAATTTCCCTCCTAAAGTTTAATAGTTGTTTCAATATCACCTAAAATCCTAAACAAAACATGCTATTGAGAGAGTGTAGGAGAGTCAACAATAATGATAGTTGATATTGCTAATTTATTTATTTTTATCATATTTTTTAGTTTAATTTTATTCTTGCATGGTCAAAGGATTGGTACATAGTTTTGATTAGAAAAATTATTTTTTTTATCATATTTGTTTTACTATATATATATATATATATATATATATATATATATATATATATATATATTACTAATTTTTTAATTTTAATTTGTTCATTCGTACCTTTTGAGTTGTATTGAAATATTCTATTAATTTTGAAGAAAAAAATTAAAATTTACATACCTTCTCTATTAATATTTTTGGATTATATTGAGATATTCCATTAATTTTGAAGAAAAATTGAAAAAAAAATATGTTTTTTAAATAATTTTTTTAATTTTAATTTTTTTTTCATTCTTACCTTTTGAATTATATTGAGATATTCTATTAATTTTGTAGAAAAATTTGAAATTTACACACCTTCTCTATTATTATTTTTGGCAGAAATAGACATAATGAAAAGTGGACTAAATATAAAAGATATAGGATCCGATTAAAATAAATTAAAGGTTTAAGGTGAAATTAGACAACACATAAACCTCGGGAATGAAAAATTAAAATTTAATCTAATTATAACTTAGTGACTCTAATTTTTTGAAACTAATGAATTAATTACACAAATAATTATAAATTCTCATAAGCAATATTAACTATCCTTAATTTAGTGGTTTTTGTTCTTTTTTTTTTTCTAATCAAATTTTCATATCTTACCTACTTTAATTTTTTTTATTCGAATTTTTAAGAAAGAATAAATTAGAAAATAACATTAAATTATTAAGGGGACTAAGTTATAAATCATTGAAAAATGTAAGGAGCAAATGAATAGCTTCTAAAACTATGGCATTAATTAATTAGTTTAATAATATGGATTAAATTATACTTAAATATTTATTTTATAAGCATATGAGAAATTTTAAATTACTCAAGGAGTAACTATTGATAGTTACTTTGTAGAATCATTTTGAAAGAAGAGCTATATACAAAGATGAAAGAAACATGTCTTTTCTTTTCTTTGTATTTTTTTATGAATATCCATTCCTTTATATATATATATATATATATATATATATATATATCACACAAGTGTATATATACTTAATTTGTCCATAAAAGTTAATTAAGAAGTTATTTAATTTAATTATGTACTAGTTTATGTTATTTTTCTTATTTTGTCAAGCATCCAACTTACACAATAAATAAATTAGACTGAGAATGGATCTTGCTTAGCATAGGATTTTAGTTCACATAAAGATAGACACGAGATATTTTTGTAGGGCTAGTGTCTATGCCTTTTCTTTAAGATGCATTAGGAAAATTGACTTGGTGGGCTCGGTACATGATCCATTAAATGAAGGTCAAACTGTTACTTCCTTTAGCATTTCCTAAAAAGATGAAGTAATTTAACCAAAAAGAACCTAGTTTTCCTTAACTCAAATCTAATTGTCCAATAAGGATGACATAATATGATCACAACGGTTAAGGGTCATTCCCATTTCATTATAAATGCTACCCTCACATCATTGTGAGGGGATTTCAAATTTTTAATCTTTAGCAAAACCTTTGAACTCTCTATGTTTTCTCCGAAATCTCTCCTACTCACAAATCGGACATCACCTAAAGCCTTATCTTTTGAACTTTGACCACCTATATTCTTACCACTCTACTTGCACTTTGTTAGCATTAGCTGGTCTTCTTTCTATACCTCATTATTTTTATCTCGTTTCTACTTGATTGTTGACGAGTTGCATCTATAAGTCACAATATTATCTTTTTGTACTTTGATCAATTTGTCGACCTATTTTTAATCGAGTTATTTGAGTATGAAAAGATCGTAGCCTAGCCAGTGTATAACTTGACTAGATGGACATTGGGTTGCAATAAAAAAGAAATTCTAAGCATGAAAATTATTGACATGAGAGTGTATTAGTTTCAAACTTCATTATTAATTTTTATTATTGTTATGTTTTTATTCGTAGGCATTTATTTCTTTTTTATTTTTAAAGTCATTTTAGCCATATTACTGTTAGAATTTACAAGGTTATTTTAATTCCTTTTTTCTAATTTGGAAAACTTATCATATTTGTTTAAGGTTAGCTGAAACTTAGGCTATATAAGCCTCATTTTATTCGGACTATATGAAGATAAAATATTGTTGCTATTGAATATATATTTTTTGAGAATTATCTCAACTATTGCATGATTTTTTATGTTTATATATACTTAGGATTACATATTTTCTATATTCTTGAATTGATCTTCCAAGTTGGTGATTGTGATCTTTGTAAGCTAAATTGTATTAGGGGTTCTACACCTTGCCATAATCGGCGAAG